TAGGAAACAAAACTTCCAGAACACAGCCACACAGCCCGGAAGACCCACACCAGCCAACAGACTAAGGCTACGTTTATTGGGAGTGGCTCTAATAACAGAATCTTGCAAGTCTGACTGTGCTGTATCTCCTCCCCTTTCTTATACTCTGGTAAATTAGGGAGGGGTCTGTCTGAGCCTCTTCCAAGTATTTTCTGCCTGTTGTGGACTAGAGATATGTTTCTCCCCTCATTGGTTTGGTAAAGGATCTTGCATATCTCCATCAAGGTCACTTTCCTTACTCTCTCCAGAAATGGACTGTGTCTCCTTAAGCCAATCTAGTTTCCTCCAGATATGTGGGACTTCAGCTCCTAACATTTTGGCTGGGAATTCTGGGAACTGAAGCCTAGCATGGTGGAAATTGAATAAGGCTCCCTTTTGCTATGGCAAAGTCTCTATTTTCTCCAGTGTCTCCTGCCGCCTGATGGTAATGGTGTATTCTTGTAACCCAGGGCTTCCTCCACTCTACATCGTAGCCCTGGTAAGAAAGACGAGCCAGCATGTAAGCAGATACACCTTGAGGGGAAAGCGCTCCTGCCACAGCCATGTGTACAGCCCAGGAGGGTGGCTGCTGCTTTCACAGTACACTGTTGGGGTTCTGGAGAATGGCAGCAGCATATGCAATCTCACCTCAGGTAAGCATTCCAGTCTGCTTGGTGAATGGCTTGGTTCAAGAAGAGAGGTGGGCTGGTCTTCTTTTTGGGTAGGAACAAGATATTTTGAATGTTTAAGGATTGGGATAGAAGGATTCATGACCCACAATAGACATAGGAACTTAATGAGGCAGCATCTGTTGGATTTGTGATACAGAATAAATTTTGAGATGATCTTCCAGACAGATCTTCGTAAGAACATAAGAACAGCTCTGCTTGATTTCAGCAAAGCCATCTTAGTCCACCATTTTGTTTCTCCCAATGGCCAGTCAGATGCCTCCAGGGTGGACATAAGCAGGGGACTGGGACATACCTCTCTCATTGTTGTTCCCCTGCAGCTGGTAGTTGGATGGGGACTGCTCCCTGGCCCATTGAGTCTTCAGGACCAATAGCTCTGGATGGACCTGTCCTCCATGAATTTATCCAATCTCTTTTTAAAGTAATATTCTATTTATAAATTATACGGATATTACACGCTTATGTGCCTATTTTGCTCATTTTGTACTCCATTTTTAACATACTGGGCACTTTCTTTAAAAAGAACTTGCTGTGTTACTGGTTATGGATTTCTGAAGTTGACTGGAAATTTTTTTAGCGAGAGAACAACTTTACAGAATAACCCTGGTTCTTAAGGCTCAAACGGAGCAGTTAGCTAAAAATGTTTAGCATATCAAACCCATAACACCTCCAAGACCTGAGTGATACCTGTTATTAAATAATAACTGGTGCAGTTGTTGAGGGGCTGGGGGGAGGGATAAAATCCAGCAGGGTGAAGACCGTTCCTCATGGGCAGTCAAGGGGCAAGGCATCATCAAGTATGGTTTACATAGAAGCCAGAGAGCATTACAGATAGTCCTTGCTTACTGACTGCCTTGTTTAGTGACTATTCAAAGTTACAGTGGGGTAAAATAATTACCTTTGCAACCAATCCTTGCATTTATGACTGTTGCAGCTTTCTGTAGTCGTGTGATTGCCATTCAGGCATGTCGCAACTGCTGAAAAAGTTGCGGTCATGTGATTTTTTTTGCTTAGTGACTGCAGTGCTTTGCTTATGACCGAAGGGGAGGTCATAAACCTGTCACAGTCACATGATTTTCCACTTAGTGACCACATTGCTTAGCAACTAAGTTGCTGGTCCCAATTGTGGTCACTAAGCGAGGACTACCTATACAGTGAAGATTGCAAGCCGCTGGTTGCTATAGTCTAGCATTTGGGTGCCTCCCAGTCAGTGGCAGAGCAGTGGCATCTGGAAAGCTCATGAGCACAAACAGGAGGACATTCCTCCTCCTCCACTCTTGCCTCCCAGCTGCTGTTCTTCAGAAGTTACACTGCCCACAAATCCAGAGGCACTGAACAGCTACCCAAACTAGTAGCGCTGATGTTTCTCTGTACAGTGCCTCTCCCCCTCCCCAATTTTGCACTGTAAACCAGAACACTGGGGATGTCCCAGAGTTAGTCCCCCTCTGCTAATATTCTAAGAAACCAGAGATTATTTTTTTATTTTGCAGTGCTACCCACATTGGTTCGCCAGTTTGTCTGTGCAGTAAAAGAAAAATCAGCATAGCCTAATTCCACTGAGTAACAGCTGGCCTTTTCCCTTCTCCAAGCATACCAGGGTTTCTTCTGGAAAGGCTGCATGCCAGGAGCTGGGGGAAATCTGTGCAAAGTGTGCATTGGACAAGAGGAGAGAGGCAAGGGGTCATCCAGGTGTGCAGCTAATCATCATGAACGGTATTATGGCAATCTAGGGGCCCTCAGGTGAGTCACACTGGAGGAAAAGGAAAGGAGTAGGTCACTTCTTAGTAAAATATGATTATGGGACCATGCCTTAGCAGCTAGGAAGCTCCTGCCTTTGGGGCCTGTGAGTGTGTCTGGCATTTTTAAAATTACTTTGCATACAGCCATAAAGAGAGCCAGTTGGGCATGGTGGCTTAAAGCACGAAGCTGGAAACTGGAAGACCATGAGTTCTAGTCCCACCTTGGGCACGAAGCCAGCTGGGTGACCTTGGGCCAGTCCCTCTCTCTCAGCCCTGGGAAGGAGGAGGCCAGGGCAAACCACTTCTGAAAGTCTTGCTGAGAAATTTGCTGGGACTAGTCCAGGCAATCAGCAGGAGTCAACACTGACTCAAAGGCACAAAATGCTGTAAGGGGCATACCTAGGCACAAGCTGGCTGTTACGTCTTTCTCACACACGCATGCACAAGAAAGAGGGAAGAGGGCAGGCAGAGAAAGCAGATCATGTTCCCCCACCCTCTGAATTTTAACTCATTTTTGGAATTTCTGATGCTAATCAAAATATGTAGAGCTGAAGTTGGTTGCTGGATGCAGTAAGAGAAGTACAGTGGGGCAAAAAAGTATTTAGTCAGCCACCAATTGTGCAAGTTCTCCCACTTAAAAAGATGAGAGAGGCCGGTAATTTGCATCATAGGTATACCTTAACGATGAGAGACAAAATGGGAAAAAAAGCCAGAAAATCACATTGTCTGATTTTTAAAGAATTTATTTGCAAGTCATGGTGGAAAATAAGTATTTGGTCAATATCAAAAGTTCATCTCAATACTTTGTTATATATCTCCCATGCATTTGCCCAAAAGTATGTTAAATAACCATGGAGATGTCACACATCCTTCTTACTTTTGCTCCCTAAGGATTCCATTTATTCACATACATTCTTTATTTCCATCATATACAGTGGGGCAAAAAAGTATTTAGTCAGCCACCAATTGTGCAAGTTCTCCCACTTAAAAAGATGAGAGAGGCCTGTAATTTCCATCATAGGTATACCTCAACTATGAGAGACAAAATGTCCCATGCATTTGCCCAAAAGTATGTTAAATAACCATGGAGATGTCACACATCCTTCTTACTTTTGCTCCCTAAGGATTCCATTTATTCACATACATTCTTTATTTCCATCATATACAGTGGGGCAAAAAAGTATTTAGTCAGCCACCAATTGTGCAAGTTCTCCCACTTAAAAAGATGAGAGAGGCCTGTAATTTCCATCATAGGTATACCTCAACTATGAGAGACAAAATGTCCCATGCATTTGCCCAAAAGTATGTTAAATAACCATGGAGATGTCACACATCCTTCTTACTTTTGCTCCCTAAGGATTCCATTTATTCACATACATTCTTTATTTCCATCATATACAGTGGGGCAAAAAAGTATTTAGTCAGCCACCAATTGTGCAAGTTCTCCCACTTAAAAAGATGAGAGAGGCCTGTAATTTCCATCATAGGTATACCTCAACTATGAGAGACAAAATGGTTTGTAGGTGACCAAATACTTATTTTCCACCATGACTTGCAAATAAATTCTTTAAAAATCAGACAATGTGATTTTCTGGCTTTTTTTCCCATTTTGTCTCTCATCGTTAAGGTATACCTATGATGCAAATTACCGGCCTCTCTCATCTTTTTAAGTGGGAGAACTTGCACAATTGGTGGCTGACTAAATACTTTTTTGCCCCACTGTATATGATGGAAATAAAGAATGTATGTGAATAAATGGAATCCTTAGGGAGCAAAAGTAAGAAGGATGTGTGACATCTCCATGGTTATTTAACATACTTTTGGGCAAATGCATGGGAAATACTTGCAGTGATACTAGAAATGGGTTGGTTAGGGATATAAATCTCCCTCTACTCTTGTATTCAAATAATGCTGCCTTTTTGGTTGAGAATCCAAATTATTTGCAGCGAATGTTAGATTCCATGATGCTGTGAAGAGTATGGATCTGAAAATGAATAAATCAAAGACCAAGATAGTTCTGTATGACAGAGAAAATAGAATGAAAAATTGCAAATTATACATAAATGGTGAACAGCTAGAACAAGTAGATGAAGTTAGGTATCTTATTAGAATGTTTATTAAAGATGGGGAAATGGATGGAGTAGTTTTAAATCGTGCAAATACTACTCATTTTAGATAATGCAAATGCAAGGCATGAATGTCAAAATAAGTGTGTGTGTGTGCATGCACATGTGTATGTGCATGCTTCTGCTCATTTTGTTATGTGGAAATGAGAGTTGGATATGTCAGAAGAAACAACAATGGAAGAAGGCGAAATGGAAACCCCTTTTGGACTTTTTGCGTGAAACAGAAAAAAAATGAAATTATGATATATGGGTTGGATGATTAGAAAAAATATTAGGTGACAGAAAAAATGAAAGTAATGTTATAACCGTACAGTAAGAGTTCAATTTAAATGTATACCTATAACTATTGTAAAAGAAAATTGGAAGTCATTTCTTCATATTTCTTTTTTTCTTTCTTTCTGCACTTTTGGCTTTGTTCTCTCTTTTTTTCCTTTCTTTTATCTTAAACATTAGTTCTTGTTAGTTTTTATCTTCTTTAATACAGTTATTACACACACAAAAAAAGAAGGTGAAACGGGATATTTAAGAAGTATGTGGGGTAAAACAGGGTCATAAATGAAAGCGGACTGAATACAGACGTGAGATTAGTCAGAAAGAAGTATGCTGAGGTGGTTTGGCCAGATAGAGAGAGTGAATGAGGACTGAAAGGTGAAACAGTTGCCTTATCAAGGGCTGAGAGGAAGGGAAGGCTGAAAATGCCATGGCTGGATGGAGTTGAGATCCTCCGGAAGAGGGAGGTGAGAAGTTTCAAGGGCAAAAGTAGTTTATAAATGTGGTGGAAAGGTGTTGAGAGGCAGAGGGAATGGTGATGGTATCAACTAGTTTCAGCTATAAACTTCTTGTTCTTTCCTTATCTCAGGCCTTTAGTTTCCTTTGCTTAGTATTTTTGTTTTGTTTCTACCCTCTTCTTAACTCTATCACACACCCCATTCCTTGTCTTTTTCATTCTGTTAAAACCTCTTTAACTTTTTAACCTATGAAAAGCTTAAGCTAGAATATCCAGGTTGTAGGGTTCCAAGGTGGCACCCAGTTTGGATGCATAGGTCATAGTAAGTCTGAACCTAAGCTGATGAAATGTGTGGGAGGGGGGCCCTTGTAAAGCATAATATCATCAATTATGGTCACTGAGTTACAATCCCTGCTTGATAACCTTGCCTGAGTGGCTGCAAAGGACTTAAGTCAGATCAGGCTTACAAGAATCTCTACTGTATAAGGCTGGGCTGGAAGTCAGGGGTTTCAGGCTTAATCCTTTTTAAGTGGCTAAAAGCTATAATAAAATTCATTCATTCATTCATTCAAGCCCTTTTTGCTAGACTGGTTTGCTTTATCTTCCAGATGCCTCTTGGGTGATCCCACTGGAAGAAGCTTTGGTGATGTGGCTCTCTTGGAACATCATAACCTACTTCAGAACATTGAGTGTAAAATATTTTGTACTACCTTTTCAGGTTCTGGTAAATTGCCAAATGTTATCTCCTTGCTGCAAGCTCTGTTATGGGGCAGCACCCTGAGGGAACCCAGTTCCTGCTATAGTTATAGCAGGGCTTGCAACATCTTAGAGTTGGAAGCTGCAGCATAGCCTCCTATTGAATGCATTTTATTGTATTATTTATTTTCTTTATTGTTTTATTATATTGTAATTTCTTTGATTGTTATGAGTTGCCCAAAGTCATTGGGAGTCAGGTGGCATACCATTTTAATAAATCATCATCATCATCCCTTGAAGGGCCTTATAAAGCTATCCAATTGTGATGAGACGTCTTTGAAAGAGATAGTCTATGTGTGGAGGCACTTTAAAAAAATGCCCATTGGGGGGCATTAAGGCTAAAGAGTTCCCTGAACTGGAACTGCTCCCATTTCCACCTTGAAACCCATTCCAACTCCTCAAAATGGGCTAAGATGACAATTTTTTATTATGAATTTTGAAGTATTGATTGTTTTTTAATCCACCCAGAGTCATGTGGACTTAGAAATTTAAATTGTGAATAAATAATAATATCACATCACTGAATTTTGGCCATTTTGTTGCCAAATTCGGAGACCATCTGCTTTTGACAGGTAAAAAAACTAAGCTGACAGAAATGCCCTGTTTAACCACAGTAGAAGTGAACCCTTGCTTTGGCTACATAGGTTGGTCAACAAAACTGAACATGGTTCTGGAAGAGCTTTATTCCACTTATCCAAGATGGATCCATATGGAGACTATCTTAAATCCCTTGATAAAACATAGACTTCATGAACATATGAGCCATTCTTGCAAACAGACAGCATTCTTTCCCAGATCAATCTATATAAAGGTAGTCCTCACTTAGCAACCGCAGTTGGCACCGGCAACTCAGTCGTTAAATGACATGGTCACTAAATAGAAAATCATGTGGCCGCAATGGTTTACAATTTTACTTCAGCTTTCCTTTTTCCCCACTCCCTCACCCTTTGGAATGCTCACCCCGGTCCTGGGATAATTAGCAAGAAGGGAAATAATGTTTGTATTTACATTAATTGGAGAGGAAGGGATTACAAGAGAATAAACAGGCACACCATGGGGAATACACATCAAAAAGAATTATGGCTTTTTGTCTAGCTAGGCAAACAGCCAGTGCTAGCACATTCCTTTCAATGTGTATTCCCCATGATGTACCTACTTACTCTCTTGTAATCCCTTCCTCTCCAGTCTCTCTGCTCTGCAAGGGAGGGGGAAGAAAAAAAATGGGTCTGGCACAAGAGAGATTGCTAAAAGAGATCGCTTGTTTAAACAATCTCTCCACTCTGCAAGGAGGGGAAAAAAGAAAAAAAAATTGGTCAGGCACAGGACAACACGTACGCCTTGGTTACAAAGTTATTTTTTCAGCACCGTCGTAACTGAGCGGTCACTGCATGAGGCACTTGGTAAGTGAGGTCTACTTGTAGATCAAAGCAGTGGCATGATAACTCTGCAAAAAAAAAAAGAAGTAACTGTTATATTCAGGGCTTACATTACAGAATTATCTGCATATCCAGTATTTAAAGGTTTTACTTCAGAAGCAGCACTACACATCCCTGATTGCCACCCACAAGGGAGACACTGTTCATGCATCTTGGGTCCCACTGATAGTGGCAGCACATGGGTGGGATCCTGCCAAACCCTGGAGGCTGAAGGCCAGTTAATCTGATCTGAGCAGAGTGTCATATTCCAGCAGCTGTCGGGGAATCCCACTTTCAAAGTCTAGATGGAGGGGCAACAAGTTCATAAATCTCTGAACTGGAACTAGGGAGAAATCTTTGCTTGAGTAGCCCCCACTTACTATCTCAGAGGTCCATACATGAACTAGGGAATTCAGATGAGGAAAAGCTCCAGGGGTGGGTGTGATTGCTCCTGAGCTGTTATGGAAGCATGCTGAATGGGGAGTTCCTGTGCTGGTGTCTCTTTTTTACTTATATTGATAAACCAGACTGCATTCCTAACATCTGGGGCTTGACCATGATTATTTATTTAAGAAGGAAAAGAAAAATGACCCAGCCAATTACCACCCAGTGAGCTTCCTTACTGTAATTAGTAAGATTTGTGCCCGACATGTTTATTGGAAGCTTCTGGACTGGCTGGAAAATGAGAATCTGATAGCCGAAGAAAGGCAGGATATAGAATAGAAGTATATAGAAGTCAACTCTGTTTGTAGACCTCAAGTGGGCTTTTGATTCAATCTCCTCAGAAACTCTGTGGCATAAACTTAAATCCACTACAGTTGACAGAGGGCTCCATGCCCTGTTACATGCGCTTCACAGGAACACCAGACCGAGATGCAATACAGCAGGCCTTCTCTTAGAAGTGGTGCCAATCAGCATGGGAGTTAAGCAAGCGAGATCACGCAGAGCCCTCTTCCGTCCCTGGTGCTTCATGCTCAGTGCTCAAACAGCAGCAACGATCGTATTGTTGTTTGGTAAGATTTACGGAACCTAAATCTCAAGTCGATTACTTTGTTCTTTGCAGACCTGAGCAGCTCAGGATGGGCCGCAGGCTCCACTCCAGGGGATTTCGAGCTCCTTTGCCCAGATGGGAGCCGTGCAGCCATAACAGCTTGGAGGGCCTGTAACCTGGGCCGTGTTCCTCCCAGCATTGTGGTGACACGGCCAGTGACTGTCACTAAGGTCTATGATTTCCTGGCAAAGTCCCAGGTAAGCTTGGCAGCTGACTGAAGGCACGTCAGGATTATTATTTGTCAGAACAGGAAGCTAGGAATGAGGGACGATGCCTGGATACAGCTCTGTTCATCTTGCACTTTTATTTCCATCAACTGCCCACAGGGTTCACCTGCTGTGCTTGCCCCGCTCCCATTTCCAAGGCTTTCTCCGGTCTTAGCCCATCTCTCCCAACCTGGTGCAGGGCCAGGTTCGCCTTGTTCCTCTCAGGAGGCTCTTTTCCAGGGACAGCATGTAGAGAGAGTCAGGAGTTAGGACTGCCTGGCGTCCTAGTTATGGAAAGACCTTCTCAGAGCTAGCCAGAGGCTTCTTTTTATTCTTCCCCGATCTATTTCCAACCAGAGCAAGTGTTGGTGTTGTTGATGCAACTGTTTTAATAAACATTTCGAAGGACTCTAATTGGGCACTTCAACTGCAAACAAGCAAAGAAGGAAAACCGTTGGGTCTACTGCTCGCAGTGGCCACAGCACTCCAGTAATGCCAGAATGATCACACACACACACAGTGATTTCATCACACAAATGTTGCAACTATGTGCTTGCATCCTGACTTGAGTATGCAAGTTGCAACATTAGGGCGACGCGGTCATCATGCCCAGTCCCTCTTTTCGCCGCCTCTCCTCCCCCCACCCCCAACCGTGGCTTTGCTTATCATCACTGCTCTCCGTTTGGCCTTTTCCTTTTAGGAATCAAGCAAGAATGGTAGGTTTCAGCTCTTCCAGTCACTAAGATATGGAGAAAGTGATCTGCTCTTTAAAGACGCTACTCAACGTCTCATTTTCACAGGCCAGTTGAATTTCAAGGTGATTCTTGGGCAGTCTTTCTTTCAGCTTGCACAATCCGTCTTCAGCTGCACCCCTGCAGGTAAGCTGGTCCTTGTGAAGGACACACATGCCAGGCTGGGCCTTAAGCTGCAAACTCCCTTTTTCTCTCTGGCTTGGATATTGTCGATGTGTTGAATAATGCCGAAGACTGTGAGAACTGCCAAACTGTAATCAGTTCATTCACCCACTCCATCCAGAGATGAAAGTAAAGTTTTCATCCCAAAATGAGATTCTAATGTTGATATACTTAGGGTATTTAAGGATGCTGTATGGAAATTAAAAAATGTTTACCTTAGCTCTATACTTTAATCCCTAAAATGGCACACTTTTTTAAAACAGCCTGGTAGGATCTTTGAGTTCCTAGGGTGAGTGGAATCGGGGCGGGTGGGTGGAGAAGGTGGAACCTTCAAGACAGGATGAAAAATAGGAAATTGACCTGCTCTGTCCCTAACAGCTCATAGTTAATGGCAAGGTTTAAGAATTTTTTTAAAGAACACTATTATGGGAGGCAACAGGAAAAGAAACCTCTCTCCTGACCCGCTTTTTGAGGTTGGAGCCCCTATCATGCCCCTCCACATGTAACTAGGCAAGAGTCGAAGGTTCCCACAGCCTCAGCAGGAAAGAAGAGATGGGCCGTCTCCCATTCCATGCTGGAGATAGCGTGGCTCGTCTTCCAAGATATCTGAGGTCCTGAAATAAAATATCAGTGTTGGAATTGTACTGAAATTAGATGCAGGTCGAAACACAAAGAGAATTGATTTGAACTCTGCGCTCTGATAAAATGCTTTTTTCTAGTAGCTGAGATTTTGAGATAAATATAAACGATGCAAATGTACCTGTCTGCTTAATCTGTTTTGTGCTTAATCATTGTGGTGGGAGACCTGAATTATGTCCTTGTGTAAGTTTGGGGGCATGCTCTCCATGGAGGCAAGCCAGAGGAACGTGGAGGATACATATTTAATACTGCCATTCTTGGTTTTCAGGTATCCTGAACTTTTGCAACCAGGATACTTGTACCTCTTTCACACAGCCCTGAGCTTATTCAGAGGAGCTCCCTTCAACTTTGTCAGCTAAAATAAGAGGCAGATGGTTATACAAGGCTTTTACCGTCACCAAGATTCCCCGACATGAGGATTCTGGTCTGCAGCGATTTGCCGTTTTCTAATCCAGTATCAAATGTCCTTCAGCATCTATTGGAAAATCCATTTTTGAATGTAGCTTACTGGTATGTTAGCCAATTGAAGGCACCCATGCCATGGATTAAAGCTCACCGCCCCTCCCCCCCATCTCTAGGACACACAGGGAATCCCAGCCAGGTTTTGGCTGCGCCTGCTGCCTTATCGGCTCTAACCTGCCTGTTCTCTGCCTTCACCCAGGACAGAGGACAGGCTGGTTTGGGAACTTTTCCTCTATTTGCTGCATTTCCCTCTGGTCACTTTCTCGTGCTTCTGCATCCAAAATTGATCTGCCCATTTTCACCTCGGTTTAGATGCCCTGCCCATCACTGACCCAAAGCTCCATCTGAACTGACAGGAACTGCAGCCTGGTTCTGATAAAACGCCACACGGATGGGCTCCAATTTTCCCAGTCCCGGCAGTGAGAAGCCATCTTAGAGCCCCAGGAGGGTTCCATTTCTCTGGCTTTCGCAAGATGTAAGAGACCATGACCCTCTCCTTAGCTCTTCTCTTGACTGAAGTTTACAGTGGCTGGCTGGAGAATTTTGGGAATTGAAGTCACACATCTTCAAGCTGCCAAGGTTGAGAAATGTTGCTCTAAAGTGCTTGTCCCCCAGCTGCTCTAAACACAAATGCACTTGCATCAGGGATGACCCCCCCCCCTCAAACTGAGCCAGACCGCTGGCAACTCTATGGCCGCGTCATTTGCTCGGCAACCAGGTGGGCACAGCTTGCCTTTGCTTTCTTCCCAGGCCAGTCTATAGCCGTGGGATTCCCTGGCAGTTTCCTATCTAAATAACAACTGAGTATGACCCTGCTGAACTTTCTGAGATCAGCCACGGTCATATAGCATGGCCAGTAACTGCACAGGATAGTAATTTTAGGGGATGCCATTTCCTCCCCCCCGCTCAACATTTCTGAAGAGCTCTCCAGAAATCCAAACCTGCTCCCAGCTCTTTCTGGCTTCTGGACTTGGTGCAATAGTTCATCTAAGTATCCAGTCACCTCCAGCAGGTACCAAGAAGAGCACTGCACACTCATCTCCACAGCCAAGGACTTCTGAGAGCTCCCTGACACATTAGAGTGGTGACATTTCTGTGGTAATTTACAATGGCTGAAGAGCTCCGTAATACAGTTGCAGAAATGGTACTTGTGTTTTACAGTACGGAGCAAGAACTAGCAGGACACTAGCAGCACTTGTGAAAGTAGCCTTGCTGTTGGGCGACCACGGCCATGGTTATTCCTGCAACGTTCAGAGGTGGAATGAAGGGTGTAAGCCACAAATCCCCGAACTAGTACGCCTTTCCAAATGAATAGGAAAGAAGAGGGGGACAGAAATGGCAACTGTCAAACACACAGAAGTGAGGAAAGGATAAAGTCACTGATCCTTTGCTTAGGAAGAGAACTAACTAGCAGTATCTATTCCCAGAGAGACAAGAGCCTCAGCAGCAGAGCCACGAATATCATCCACAGAGGGACATTTATATTTATGGTGAAGCAGAGTAGGTACGGTATTAATAGAAGCATCTTTTGCAGGTCAACTAAAGTTAATTGGGGGCTTAAGACTTAATAGCAATGTACGGAGTTGCGCTACTAGTTTAGTGTACTTAATAGTTTTGCTTATATCAAAACAATTAGAACGAAGATATAATGTTTTTTTTCACAAGTTGTATTTGTTCTTACTTGCCTTGTATATTTTTGAAATGTTTAATAAAGGTAACATTTTAAAAAAATCCCCCCAGCACACTTTTATTTTATTTTTTTTATTTCCATAATTTAAAACACTAGAAAAAGTGAAATTTGAAACTCAAAGGTTACAGGAATGAACACAAACCATGTGATAATGGCACAAGAACAGCCACCAGTACAGAAGTGTGCAAATTGCCATTTGGTTTGGATTACGAGGAGGCTAACCAAGCAGTATTCCTTTCTTGCTGTTCCAAGACTGGCCCCTAAGAGGCTCGAGTCGCGCTGCAGGCAGCTTGACCGGGGCTCAAAGACCAGTCTTGAAGCTCAGAGCTGCTGCCGGCCCTATTATGACACCTGCACGAGGACGGGGGGAAGGGGGGAACAAACTGATTTTTTTCAGACAGGCACAGCCCCCACAAACCAGATTTTAGCAAATATTATACTCCACGCCCTAGAACTGAATTATATCCTTGGTTGCCTCCGCTCTTTCCTGAGAAGAGATTTCTTTCAAGTGCTCTTAGTAGAATCTTTTTCATGATTGTACTGAAAATTAAGCAAGTAATTCGGTCCCTGCCTTGGAAGAATGCTGCTTGAAAGCAGGCCGCCTTTGGCCCGGTGCCACATCCTTTGGAGGCATGGTCTGAGGGCACTCTCAGCAGCAGCCCTGCTGCTGCCCCTCAGAGCTGGAGGAGGCTCTTTCAAGGCAACCCTGGTGGACTCCAGATCCTGCCTCTAGGCATTCCAGTGGCTGCCTGTTCTGGACAGCTGCAGCAAAAGCAAGCTGAGAACCCTTGCGTTCCCATTCCCATCAGTATAATTCCAAAAACAAAGCACAGTGAGAACAGATGAAGCACCCTGACTGGCATTTTGAGGTTCACAGAGGAGCAGTGCCAAGCAGTCGCCCACCGGGAGAGCCAGAGCAGCAGTTCAACGGCAGAACCAGAACTCCCACACGGGCATCTGTACGAGGGTGCCATGTCACAGAATCCCACTATGGGACAAAAGGATATAAAGCCCCATACTTCTGATAATGATTAAATTCAGCCCACCCAAAATGTGGAGATGGGAGATAATCAGGGCTCTTCTACAAGGATCAGAAGTATGAAGGGATGGTCACTGGTGTCACCGATTTGCATGCAGCAGGAAACATGTAAGGACACACAGTCACACAAGAAACTGGCTCTGACATCTCAACTATTAAAAATTACTCCCATTCTCTTTTTCACAATGGGAAAACAATACGGAGCAGAAATTAATTTCTACTTCCAGGCACAGGTGGGGCACTGCTCCACTACTTCTCCAGTTTTAAGGCCCTCCATAATCTACAAGGCCCATTTCAACGTCTTCCCTGTTCAGGTCTGGAATGGGAGAGTCTGGGAACAAGCCACAGTTTTCATCCCTGGCTGGCATATCATCATTTGCCCCCCAGAGTTCATTCTAGAGGTAAAACGAAGTGTCCACGTGGGCCTGAAGGTACCAAAAGTGCAAATTTTAGAGGCAAAACAGAAGGCAAACCCTTTGAGCAATTCAGCCATTAAACCTGGCCTGAATTACAGGCACTATAGACAGCTAACAGCTGTTGATCATCATGTAAAATTTTCAATTAAGATAAATATTTAACAGTCTCCCAAGCACAGAAACATCCCCATAAGGAAAAGTACAAATCTAAAATATCCTCTGCGTGACTTCATATAGCTGCTACTTCCACCAGCTTCCACCAGGATCCAGTAATGCTACTCGTGCTACCAACCAGCTTCTTACGCTGCGATTGTACTATTCACTGCATGTGGGCCCCAATGAGTCAGAATCAGGAAAACAGGAAGTAACAATAGGCGCTGACTGACAGCTGAGGTGGTGGAAGAAACACACACAAAAAATGAGGGATTGTTGAGGTCTCATTGGCATTCTGGTATAACATCACAATTAAAATCTACGACGAATTTGCTGGCCCCGATTCCAAGACTGACATCAACGGGAGAGGAAGCCTGCAGAGCAGAGTGCGGTGAAGGCGAAACAGAGATCCTGCATCCCCTAATGCAGGAACTGGAGATGGACCTCCGAAGTGGGTCCTCGCGTAGCAAAGCAAACGAAGTGCCACAGGTAGCCACGTCCTGGTCTCCTGGCAGGCTTCTGCCCCAGAACACACTTTGGGACAAGAGGACTGCAGAGGATGGAAGTGCCACACACAGCTTCCTCTTCTTTGAGCAAGACGTGGTTGCTGATGGGTACAATGGGTCCTATTGCCCAACGATGCAAACTAAGGAGATTTGCTAAAACAACTAAAAAAAATCCCTTGTCCTGGCTGCCACATTACCAGGGTTCAAGAACAAGGAGAGCAGCAGAGGCAAACACTTGGCTAACTTCGGGAAGTCTTTACAATCCTCATGTCTTTGAAGGTGCTTTAGCCTTTGTTCTGCCCTATGCTTTTACCCAGATTTTAAAAAGCCCCACAGGTGTTAATTCCTAGTGATAATGGAGGCTAAAGACAGGGCTGTTTGACAATGTTAACAGATATTAATTATTCTCCTCCAACACATAGGAAAATATCTATATGACTCAGTCCGATAGGTTGGTCCAAGCTGAGTGGCTGGTTTGGGAAAACGAAACTCTTTCCAGGCACATCAGACCACTAAAAACCTTGGCCTCTTCCGGCGGATCGACCCGAACTCAGCTGCCCGACGCTTGTTCCTGCTTCTCCTCCTTGGCAAAGAACATTTCGAGGTCTGTCAGTTTCTGAATCAGCAGGATGTCAAGTTCTCTTCCTTCTATGGCTGCCTTCTGTGCCCGAGTGTAGCCACCCATCGCTCTGACTCTGCTGCGAGCTTTCCTCTTCCGGGGAATGGTGAAGTCCTGGAACTCCAAAATTCGTTTTCTTTTCTGCTGGCTGATTGAGATTAAAGACCCATTTTTCTCTTTTGGCTCTTCAAAAATGGTTTCCAGACACCTGAGAAAACCAAAAAGGAGTGAACCCGGGGCATCATTATTGTAATGTGGACATGGACCCAAAGCCCTTTCATACAACTAGCAAGTGGGCTCAAGGCCAGATATGTTTTTTCAAGCCACAAAATATACTGCTATATAACCATTTGCAATCATATAGCACATGTAGAAGGGAGATCCACTTAGATACTTTCCTACAACTTTTCTTTGAACAGCAACTTTAAATCACAAAATCCTCCATTCCATTGCTGTGTTGTCTATAGCTTACTTGTAAATGTAACCAACCTGGTTGTAGGGGGAGATTTGTAATTCTTATTGGTATATATTTCCTCCAAGCTGAATTCAGTCTTCTTTAACCTAGAAGAAAAAAAAAGGCAACTCGCTATCAGCATATCTTCTTAATTAATAACATTACATTCTAGTAGCAGTTACAGTTCTTGGTCAGGGAAAAGATTACTTTTAGCCATGTACCAAAGTTGCTTTATCATGTCTGGGTGAAGCAAGACACCCCAAGCAGGTGACTCCTTCCTCCCACCAGGGAAGGCTTCCAACTGCTGCGGGGTCACCATCTCAGCTGCAGAGCTATCGACAGGGCCCCTTACCTTGCCCAGAGCTGTTTTTTAAAGTATTTAAATAAGCAAATAGACATAAAAAGCACTTTTTTAAAAGAAAGGTATAAGGTATGTTTATTTATCACGTTATCAGGTGTGCCAGAACATAAAATGACACAAAGTCAAAAACTTGAGAAATCCAAAGGAGTCAGTCCCATACCGCTATTAAGAGTCACATTGTGTGGCAACCACCCTCTCAGGTTAAAAACGTAAGAAATTAAGATAACGTGTTGTAGAAGAGATATCCATGACATTTCATCTTTTCCTTGGAATCCCCTTTCCAATATAGTGGAATTTAGTCACTTTCAAATTTGATGGAATTTATCTGTGTGGAGATAGTGCCACCACAATAACTTCCCCTTTTCTTCTTTGTCTTCGTCTCATGTCAGAAGGATTTGCCTTTTCTAAATTTCAGAACATCATTTCCTTTTTTACCCCCGTCACCTGCAGCTCCTTTTTGGCATCAAAGGAACTGTTTGCTACTCATGCATCTTTTACTTCCTCTGTTCTAAGGCAGGCCCGCCTGCCTGCCTTCCTTCTGTCCAAAAAAGTGCATATTGTATGTCTTTTAGCACGTTTGAGGTGGATTAAAGCCTGTTCCCCTTACCTGGGCTACGTTCCTGGAAGCAGTGTCTTGAATAGTGGTTGCTTGACAAGCACAACTGCTGAGCAACAATTCATACCCATGTGGGGTTAGCAAGACATCTAGTTGCAAAGAAGCTAATATCTTGTAAGGCCATCTGCAATTTTTTTGATTGCGTGATGCCTGAGGAAGATGAAAGGAATTTGCTCTCGGTGCTCCTGGTTGATCCATGCAGCCAGGCAAGTTACATAACCATGGGTTCCGGGGTGATGAATGCATCTCTGGTGGAGTTGATCTTGCTGCCTGCCTTGAAGCCATCGCTTGACCCAACATACTTAGAAAATTATTGGTAAGTTTCTAATCTACAATTCCTTTGTAAGATTGCTGAAGTGGTGGTGAAGCTTTAGCTATACGGTAAAGAGAACTGGATGAAATAGATTATCCATCCAGATACCTTTCAGTCAGGTGTCGGGATTAAGCCTGGGCATGGGGCCGAGACAGCACTGGCTGCTCTGATGGATCATGCGCACTGAGACTTGAAGGAGGAGGAGGTCTCCTTTCTTGTCTTGTTACCTCTCTCAGCCTCTGACGGTTGGAAATTGGAGGCATTTCCTAAGCAGTTGGTTTCAATCACTGTTGTTGGGAGAGGACAGGTTGAACCTTGGGCACTTTAGTGTGGGGTGCCCCAGGGCTCTACCCTTTCCCCCACTGCATTTAGCATCTATTTAAAAATGCTGGGAGAGGTCATCCGTCAGGTGGGGTCAGGTGATGTAATGGTCTGTGGGAATGACCTTGGGAAATGGGAGGAAGAGCCACAGACTAGACAATGGTCAGACAACGGAGCTGAGCCCGCAGAAGGAATGGGAACAAAGCAAACATCTCAGAAGGGACCCTCCCTAGTTTCTTGGACTGTAAGGGGGGGGGGTGAGAGATGTACTTTCAGACTTGCACAATTCTGTTAATGTAACCTTACAATAAAATTAGAGTTAGTACTTCTGGGTGTGCTTCTTGTCTGGACTACCTTGCAAGGCTGGCAGGTATCATCAATATGCTGAGGATACCCAGCTTTACATTCCTATCCCAGGTTGAACAGGAGATGCGGTGGAAATCTTGGCCCAGTGCCTGGAGGCTGTGAAGGACTGGATGAGGTAAAACAGACTGTGGCTGAATCCCAACAGAATGGGATTCCTGCTGGTACAGAAACCTTCCATTTCACCTACTGCTCCTGATGATCACCCTGAAGATACTGGCATAAAATCTGGGGGATCTCTTGGACTAATGACTCCTGTTAGAACAGAAGGGGGAAGCTGTGCCCAAGAGAGTCTTCAGCCAGTTCTGGGGGGTCCGCCAGGAGGCACTGAGGATGGTCACTCATGCCCTCTGTTATACTGCTAGCATTTGCTGTTTGAGAGTCCTCAAGCTGCAGCTGGTACAGAACATGGTGCCCACTTGCTGACAGGTGCAAGTTGGTTCAGCAAAATGAGCCCTGTGTGGCAGAAGCTGCAGGGTTGCCAGCAGGGCTCCAGATCCAATTCAAAGGGCTGGGGGGGTCACTCATAAAGCCCTCTGCAGCTTGGCCCCTTGCAACTTTTGGGCTGGCTTTTCCAGAGAGAATCTGCCTGCCCTCCATCGTTGGGGGATGCTTTGGGGCCCTATCCTCCAAAAGAACTGGTGGGCTGGGACTCGGAGGAGCACATTCTTGGAGCAGCCCCACTCGGGAACAGCATGCCTGCCCCAATGTGCCCTTCCCTCATGCCCTTAGCAAAGTGATTAAGACCGTTTGCTTTCAGAGGTCTTTCAGGTAAGAAGATCTTTCTAAGGGTAGCAACAGGCCTTATGAGCAGTATTTAGTAAGGCTATTTCTTAACTGGTTTTATAGTATTTTTATGTATGTTGTAATTTTTAGAGTTGCCAGGAGTAGTGGCATACAAACAGGGGTAAATAAATCAATACATTTACTGAAAACAGGTTTGTCTCCTCAGCAGTCCAGCTTCCAGCACTGAGGGAGCAACTTCTGCCTCCCCAGAGAATCGAGAGAGGGGCCACTTGCCAGGATGTTGGGACCTATGCTGGAAGGTCACCCTTCTTCCTGCCACAGAGCTGCTGCATGTGCAAACTCCGTGGCCTTGTGCTTCTACTAGTTCTTCTGTTTGGATACATCCCTCGTGGGGAGGGGAAAAAGACACTTATGCTGAAGCTCAAGACAAGCAAAAGGTAAAACTGTAAGGACTCCTACAGCAGAACCTCCACTTTCCTGCCTCTCATCCAGCATATGTAATGGGCTGTGAGAATAACCTTGAGGAAGAGGAGGAAGAGCTGCAGCCAAGGCAACGGTCGGAGAAGAGAAGGCTCAGCCCAAAGCAGGAACGGAGTTTGAGAAAGCGCCTCAGACTGGGCCCTCCCTAGCTCTCTGTAGGGTAAGGGCAAGGGAGGGAGGACCGGCAAGATTCTGTGACCCCCTACAATAAAAGTAGTTTTAGTGTTCATGACTTTGGTGTCCAGGTCTGGTCCACCTTGAAGGGCTGACAGTATGCTGATCCTCCAAACTCAGAGAACGACTTGGTTTCTTTTCCACCTGTGGGCACCTCTTGACTGCTTTAAAAAAATAACACAACTGACCACCTGTTCTGCAAAACGTCTTTGCTAAAACCTCCCCACCATCTCAGTTCTGAGCAGCACCTAGGATGTCATAGATACCAAGCAAGTTGGCTGTTGTAGCAGCAAATGAAGGCAGTGACCCTACCTCTTTGGCCTAGGAAGCCCCATGGGGGTGAGGTTGGGATCTGGCTTAGGAATCGTCTTCCGAATCCGGATCTGAGACACCTTCTTTGGCCTGTTCTCTGACTCATCCTTGGGGAAAAAGGGACATACATGTTCAGCATTAGTCAAGATGTTACGGCAGCACTCCCCCCATTTATCCCTCTGGTCCATGTGAAATGGGATGATCTCATCTTCTCCTCACTCAAGTCCTTGAATGATTTGAGCTGACAGAATGCCAGAGCCAGATGTTAACAGGACAGCTCCCTTCACAGTGGCTTTCCCAGCACTTGCCCTGAACCACACCTGCTCTTCCAGTGGTCCTTAGGCGCAGCTCTCTACTAGGTGAGGCGATACTGAAGCTGATGCTCACTGAGAGTAATTGCCATCTTCGCTGCCTTCAGTTCCAACAGGCAAGGGGTGGCTTTTCTTACCATTACTCTACCTCCACCCTCAGTAACATGCTCTATCAACAGAAATAGGTTCCCCATGCAACAGTGAGAAGCCTCCTACAGCCAGCTTGAGTTCATGTTAGGTTAACTGTCCATTTTGACTCCACTGCTTACCTTTTCAAGCTGAGTTCCAGCCTTAGGCAATGCTGGGACAGAAGCATCATGTTTATCTCCAGATCCAAGAGCTGGAAATCCTAGAGGAGAGTGAGCCGGTTCTGGCGCTGAGCAAGACGTTGGCAACAACACAGACAAGAATGGTTCCAACCTAGGACAATGGCAAAGGGGCAGAGAAAAAAAGCTGGGTGAGGCCAGGGATCTCTCGAAAGTGACAGTAAAGTCCATTATGGCAGGGAAAAAAAGATGGCAAGAACAAGAGGGGCTGGTGGGGCCTTGACAACTTGAAGGACAAGGCAGGTTGCAAAATGAGCCTTGCTCACCCCAGTTGACCTGAGCAGAGGCAGCTCGTGTGGGAACATGTGTAGGCTCACTTCATTGACCAGAGGAGAACCTTCACAAAAACTTGAAAACCACCTTTCAATGGAACATTTAAAGCAGGGAGAGTTCCCAAATCAGTCTCTCACGTTTGGAAAGGATGCTTCATAAAGCAACTGTGAGCGAAGCACCCCTCCTCAAAGCACAAAAGCATCTGTGTCCTCCTGGAGGCTCAGCACAGTTGCTTCCAAGGCTCCCCAGCTGTCCGTGCACATGTGGGCATACTCTAAGAGCACCTCCATGGGGACTGCCAGCCAGAAGGAAAAGCATGGGTGAAAGGGGAGAGGTCAAGGCAAACTTCTAGAATGGAACTACTTTCCTTTACATATAAGTAGGTGTTGGGGGTAGAGGAGGGGCACACTGACCTCATGTCATTATTTATAGCCCTGGAAGTGTCACTCAGTGGGCTGGGCACCAGAGGTGGCATGCTTAAGCTGGTTCAAAGAGGGGGAAAAATCACAGGAAACAAAGAGAAAATTAGAACATTACAGAAAGTGATACTGCATTCATTTAATCTACATTCCAAGAAGGCTTGAGCGGGACTAGAGCTTTCCAGGTCTGCTTGTCTGGGAGGCAGAGGTCATGCTGGGGGCAAAAACAAACACCCAAACCAGGATGGGATGACGCTCCCTTTAGCTGGAGAGGCAGTTGCTCATCTCAAAATGGCTTTCTATACAAGGGCAAGTTTTATCCATGCCACCAAGCTCTCCAAGAGGCTGATATCCTCCTTCCTGCTCTGCAAGAGCCTTTGAAATGGGCAGGAAAGGCCTGCGCTCAAGAAGGGCATTTCTAGCAAGAGCAGGACAGAAGGGAAAAAAGGAAGCCTGGTCTTAAAACCATTCATTTAGTGGAGTGTAAAGGGCAAAGACTTCTCCCAGGACACACTGGAGAGCTTGACAGAGTTCCAAGGTCCCCGCTTTCACACGTCTTTCCAAAGATCAAGTCCATTTGAAGGCCACAACCAGTGAAGGTTTGAACTGTGGGGCCTGACAAGAAGTGAAAGGGCCGCCCTCCCTCCCTCCTTCCTGGCTCTGAGCCTTGGGGCCAAGGGCCATTAAAGCGGCTGAGCTCCCCCTGGGCAGCCTTTCATCAACGCTGTGGCTGGAGCTAACACTGGTCTTTGCAGAAAGGCCATTCACTAGCAGTCTGTTTTTACACCAGCTGCCCTAGAACTGCTTTTGGAAAAGCAGAACTTTGGTTCTAAGTGAGAGAGGATTAAAAGGTGGAAACTCCAACTTGATCTGAGATTGAAGCCTCACGCAGCACCTTGTGTTAGTCCAGAAACAAACAAAGGTTGCAGAATTACAGGAGATCCACTGGAAGAGACCTGGGAGTTAATATGCCTGCTTGCACCTGCCTCCTTCCTAACTCCACTTATTCAAGCATCGTAATGCACTTGTGTCCATAAACTTAACTATATGGAAGGCTCCCCTTCTGAAGGATTCTCATGTTCTAGCCACCTAAAGATGAACAAGGGATCTCTGTTTCTTTATCAATTTAAATGCGGTGTGGAATTTTTCACTCCAAAGTAGCAATTATAAATAAAAAGCAAATCCTCCTTTGGTTTGGAGCTTCCCTTAAGCTTTGTTCAGCCAACAGAAGGGATTTTGTTATGTGTAAGCTCAATCCTCACTCTACACATACTGCTCTGGGACAACTAAAAAAATGACTACAGCTATATTGGCTTAAGCAAAATGTTTTGCCACAGCTTACCCAGAAATTTCCTTTGCAAACACAATACTTTCCTGCATTTGCCATAAAGATGCCCTTATAGCAATGAAATACGACATTCCCATCTGATGGCTGGGAGGCTGGGCATGAAGTCACAGCAGGACTGCCTGCTGGGCACAGAGAGCACCCATTTCTGAGCATCCCAAGTGCCTCTGCTTCAGAATAAAGGAGTGAGCAATGGAAGGAACGTAAGGAGAGGATTCCAAGTTTTCCTTCATCTCAAAAGGCTGCCCAAATCTCGGCTACCGGCATTTGTGTGGAGACTCACAGCTCAGTGATCCAGACCAAACTGGCCCTTGCATTGCTTTAGCTGAGAGGGAGGCGGGCTTCTTAGGCAGCCCCTGCACCCAACAGTCCATTGGGGGAAAAACAGCTTCAGATAGACAGCTAAACTCATTTACTCATGTACAGAAGCAGAACAATAATTTTACGTGTGGGGAAGCTGGAACTGGGTAACGTCTAAATAATTTTCTCAAATAGGTTTAATAACACTTAACCCAGTTTTATTTTATTTATTTACTAAATTTACATGCTGCCCAACTCCCAGCGACTCTGGATGGTTTTTTTCTGTACCACCAGTCCAGCATAAACGGTGTATGTTTTGTTAACTAGTAGATACACCTGTCAAAGATTCACAAAGGGAGAAATGAAACTGAATTTTTACAGAATGTGAGTCCAGCCTATAAATCAAACCACTCAACTGTCTTAGGAAAATCCTGCCAAATTGAGCCCAAGGAAGTGAGGGCACTCGGTCAACTTGCTTTTCTTCCAGCAGCCAGTCTTCTCTGCGGCCACTCTACCACCTGCACGATGCCCCTTTGCTTTAAACCCAAAGGAGAGCCTAGAGATTGGCTCAGGTCACCAAGCCTCTCCTGCCCCAAGCAACCAGGGACTCTGCAACCAGCTTCGAAAGGAAGGAGCGAGGTAGCTCATTTCCCTGCAGTCTGTTCTGGCCCCTGATGGGTCGGAAGCAAAGCTGGGTGTGAAACGCTTCCCACCCCCACTTCCCCAAGGCTAGGCTCAGCTTACCCCTTTTCCCAAAGGGCCATAAAAGTCTGCAACCTCAGAAAGGCAGCACCTAACCCCAACTTTTGGAGGGAGGCAAAGGCTGCATGGCCCTTGACAAACCTTTAAGACTTTTACCAGTTGTACGGACTAAGCATCAAAGATTTATTTACATGGCTATATCAACTTGTAAGGCCTACAATGGTGGGGTTAACACAGAGCAACAGCTTATTGTTGGGGAAGGTGCACGCTACAATAAAGCACTATGTACAGCTATCTTCTACGTTGTGGTGTGTCCGGTCCTTGGAAAACAAAGAACCCTCACAGTGGCTGGGAGGGAGAGAAACAGAGTTAGTGGTCTTTGAGAATACAACACAGCAATGGGTCCTGCGAGAGGGCCCTCTGCATTAGCAAATGTACACAACACATGTAAGAAAGGAGCTGGGACACACACACACACACACACACACGTCCCCATGAGAGAGAAAGAGAGCAAAATACATACAGTTGTGCAAGCTGATTCCCAGAAGGAAGAGAGGGCTTTACCTGTTCCTGTGGCCCAGGCCTGTGGCTGCAGGGCTGGCTGGCTGTCCCTTGCAGGGAGTGGAATGGAGAGGAGTAAATTCGGAGAGACGGGCGGAAGGACCATGCTGGCTCCATATGGGCAGAACCCTACCCAGCAAATGGGGCACGGAGGAGAAGAGGTCAGCTGACACAGAAGTGCCACGTCTGAGCCCCTTCAGGCCCTGGGCAAACTGCAGCAGGGTCAGCCTTCGGACAGTCGGGGTCTGGCTGCTTAGATGTCTTTTTCTCGTCCAGACGCGATAGCAGCCGGGGGAAAACAAGGCTAAGGCTGTCGGGAGGCCGCGGGTGGGGGAGCCTGTGCTCTGAGCGACTGCCTCTCTCCCCCTGGGGGCTGACATGGAGCTCGGCTCAGCATCTTTTGGGATCGGCGTGGGACCCGGGCAGCTCCAAGGCAGAAGGAAAGGGAGGCTCCGTCTCCAGGGCTGCTGAGGCAGTGGGCCTCCCAAAGCTAATCTGGAGACAGGGCCTGGGGGCCCAGTCTCAGGGGCCTTCCTGGTCGGGCTGGTGTCCATTGGGTGATGGAAAGACACTGGGAAAACTGGAGTGCTGCACACACAGGGACTTTCGTTACTCAGCTCAAAGAAACATAGGATTGTTGATTCAACGGAATAAACTGACAGGGCCCGAGAGCTCGCCATCTTGAAGCAGCAACTGCCACTGTTGAGCCAGTGATGAGAGTTTAACTTGAAACTGACAAAGGAAAAGATTTCCAGGAGCTTCCTCCTTCTCAGCTGGCTCCGCTTTTCAGCTGAGGGAAGCAGCGCACCACAGTGCAGGAACGGCTTGCCTTTCGGGGCCAGCAATGTCTCAGCTAACACAGAGAGCCTCATCAACAAGGCGGCATCTTTGGGGCGCCCGCTGAGCCAGAGGGAAGCCAGCAAGCTGCTCTGGTTGCCTTGTTGCTTTGCTAGTTGGTCCCAAAGGACAGCCTTTGGGGTGGGGGGTGCTGCTGGCTTTGTGGCTAATTGTGCAGAATAAATGAGCTCGCCATTTTCCTCAGGGACAATTTCAGGGGGACCCTTTAGGACAGAAGAACTTGATGTCAGAGGCAAGTTTTTTGGGGCCCTGAGCTGGCTCGGCACACCAACTTTTGTGCAAGCTGTTCCTGACAGTTTCCTGAATGGTGGAAAAGGCCTTACTGGGCGCGAATGTCCAAAGGCATCTTGGCTTCTGCTCTGAAGACAGCCGACAGCTTGAGGCAATGTGCTGAAAGCTGGAACCGAGTTAGGCCAACCTTTTGCCCACTGGCTACGGCCCCTGAGGCAGAGATTCAGGCTTGTGGTCTCCCTACAACCCTGGCCTCTCTTTTGCCTTTTTGATTTGCTTCCAGCGTGGAAAGGGGATTCCTGCTTCCTCTTCTGCCCAACACCTCCTCCAGGAGCCAAAGCCTGTTGTCCAGGGTCTTCTGGTCTCCCAGCATTCTCATCAGAAAAGCTGGCTAAAGGCTGTCTGGCAGCGAGCCTTCTTTTCACTTTGGGCTTCTCTTTTTGTGGGGGCAGCTGAGCCCCTGCTTCAGAATCCCTCCTCCTTACGCTCTCACCAACCAAGTGACTTTCCCATACTTCCTCTGGCCCTGCTGCCAGTTCCTGGGTGCTCTCTACCCTCAGAAAATGTCCTTCTTTACTACTGAGCCGCCTGGAGGAACTTTCTAATATCCCATCCTCTAGGAAGGAAGATGGCATTGAGCTGCCAAGGCGTTCTGCTGGTTTTCTTGAGGAAAATAAAGGTTTCATTTGCAGCGCATAACTCAGGTTCTCTGCATGCCACTGAGTAATTGTGGGTTCTGAGGAATCTTTGGCTTTTCTGGAATCAAATTCTGAAATATCTTCGGGCAAGCAGAGAGGAAGTCTTGTGTGTACTGCATCCTTGAATGAAAATGTGACCTTCTCACCCCTGAAAGGAAACATTAAGTCTTCTAAGAGGGCTTCTGGAGACCCCTCAGTGTCAGAAAGAACAAGAATTGGAAATTCTGTCATCCCAGCTGTTTGGCCAGCCTCTCTCTGGGCAGCTTCCAAATTCTGTTTTGCCTCCAAGGACTGTTCTAAAGTATTGGATGATATGGATCCAATCTCTTCGACTCCTCCTGACTCTTGTTTGGCACCTTCTATGGCTGGAAGGCAATCTACAAGCGAACCTCGTCTGACAGAACTGCTTGCCCTTTCAGTTTCCAAACCTAACGGCTTGACATGGCAATCAGCTTCTCTTTCAAGCACCACAGTTACTAGAATATGCTCTTTGGCAAGAGGAGAGCTGTGAGCTTCCAAAGGCAAAGCTAACGCTTCATCTTTTTGAGATAAGCAATTTTTTTTATTCTGAGGAGACTGAAAGCCTAGGCCTGTACATATCAAAGTAGATAGTTCTCTTTTTCCATATGACCTAAAATGTAGTCCTTTCTTACTTTTCTGACCCTTAATCTTGGCAGAAATTGTAGGGCCTGTTTGAAAAGATGTCTGATTAGGAGATGAAGCCAATTTACTGTCAGATAATAATCCATTTTTAAAGTTTAACTTCTCTGAAGGACTTTTACTGACTGATTCAGAGGCAGAATTGCGTTCATCAGCTTTTGACTGAGGAGCCTGATTCTTACCAAAATCATTCTGGTTCAGTAATTCAAAAGTGCGTTCTAAGCATCCTAACGGTATCCTGGCACTTTGTGATTCTGCGGAGTCTTCTTTCAGAAGATCACCAGTTAATTCTGACCCCAAGTCACTGGATGACTCTTCACCAAGCATATTTTGCCGAAATGCATTTTGATCATATTCTGTTAAAAGTGCAGTAACTGGTGGGTCAATCTTTGAATGCACTGATTTGTTTTCTTTACATCTAATATATTTTACAGCTGAACTGATCAGAGTTTGTAAATCATGATAATCTACTTTTTTACAGAAAATTAAGGAAGGCTGCTGGCATTCTAGAAATTCTCTCTCTGGTGAATCATTCTTCTGTTCAAACAAGCTATAACTATCAAGAACATAACGTGAACAAAGAAGTATTTTCATCCGATAAATGGATTCCCTTTGTTGAGCTGATACTTTAGTACATAAAGAAGAGCCCTGCTTTAAAACAGAGAGATTAGGTGCTGAGGAAGAGGGATGAATCTGGTATTTTTCTTGTTCTTCTAGGTTTTGATCTTTTCTAACTCTGGCTTCACAGAGATGGAGAGTTTTGCTCAAGTCTCCATCAAGTGCCAGTGGGAGATATGGGCTGGCTGTTGAAGTATTGTTACGTACTATTATGCTTTCCATTGTTTTCATTCCACCAGCATCGGCTCCAAATGAAGCTCTGTTGACTTCTACTCTTTCGTAGGGAGGAAAAATATTACTGTTAACACCCAGAATACCTTCTGAATTGTCAAATGTATCATCACCATCAACCCTCCTGTTTTCAGCTTCTGCCCTGGAAGTTCCTGCCTTTGACAGATTTGAGCAGGGAGCATCCAGAGAATAAACCGAGCCCAAGGTGCTTCCTGCTCCGTCTGGGTCCACACAGTTATCTCCGTAGAGAGAGCAGCTGCACGCTGTATTACAAAATTTCTGTAGAGAGGTGAATTTCCCATTGGACACAAAAGAGGATGGGCTTGTTCCCGACCCATAAGATATTTTGGTGGCGGTCCCTCTTCTCCCTTCTTGTAGATGGTTATAATCTGAAAAAAGATTTCTTGACAGAGTACAGAACTCCTCTGTAGCAGAACAAAGATCATTCGTGCCCTGGTCACTAGAACAGGATGCTTTTCTCCAGAGGTTTCCCATACCAGGGTTCCCCTTTTCTGCCCCCCTCAGCATGTGTCTGACCATTTCCCAGGCCCCTTCGTTCATTTCAGCACAACCGCCACTATTCTGACTTGAAGCAAATCCTTTCTTGTGATGAAGCAAGGGACTAATGCTCCGCATCACAAGGACTTCCCTTGGGGACCGGCTGTCCAAGGGCCCTCCATGACCTAACCTTGAATTAGCTTTCGTGGTAAATGGAAGTCTGTCACAGAGTGAAGGGATTTTAAGGCTTTTGTTATTAGTAAATAAATTGACATCTATTACACTGGAAGAATTGGTGGCACACAGAGGCAGAGTTAAATCACAGATCAGGGTGGCCGTGCCTAGATTGTCCTTAGATTCCACTCGTGGCAAACCATTTTCCCGAAAGTCAAGGTGATGATCCAAATAGCTGCAGAGTGAAGGAATACTTATACGGCAATTGTTCTGAAAGCACCCAAAGTTACTTTCTTTCAACAAAAGAGTCTGATTTTCTTTTGCTATAGGGATCAGTCTTTCATGATGAAGAAAAGCAGCGTTATCCTCTTGGATAATGCCAGCCTCTGAAGAGCCTATTCTTAGGTCATCTTCAAATGATGCCGGGACAACATCACAAAGGGAGGAAGTGCCAATTTCTGAATGCACGTCTTTTGGCATTGCTAGCTGTTCAGCTGGAATGGGAAATCTGCCATGTTCTGAATGAAAACGTCCATCTTCTTTCCAGCAGTGGCGTACAGCAGATCCCTTCTGGATTTCAACTGTTCCTTTGTGTGCACAGCTATGAGAAGGATCCATACTATCATCCCCTTTCTGCTCTGTATCATCACTGTTAGACAGCTCACCTTCAGGGCTCCTGGTCTGCAACAAAGCCTCAACCATATTCAGCTCAGAGGCCCATTCTTCCAGGACCTCTCTCTTTTCACAGCTCTGGCTGCTCCTGAAGCTTTTCTCTTGCACGTCACAGGCAACTTCAGAGAGATCCATGCATTCACCCCAGGGTGTATTTCCAAATGTGGAGCTACCTTGAAAAGTATGACCTGTGGCTTCAGAGCTCATGCCTGGTGGGCCAGCATCTAAAGCCAGAGCAAGGCTGCTATTACCATGCATGCTGAACGTATCCTGCTGAACGGATGGACGAATGTTAAAAATGGCATTAATTTCTTGGCCTTGATTCTGAAATGTCTCTTCCCCAGCCTGTTTGGCATGGGCTGAGAGTCCTCCTCCTCCTCCACTTTCTTCTTCTTCAGGGGAGGCAGGACTTAGAGGCTCTTGAGAGACTAAGCTGTCAGCTCCTGAAACTGCAACTCTGGCCATGACTGTGTCTCCACCTGAGCACCGACTGGCCTCAGGCAGAATACCTGTCCTCGCTCGGGCACCGTGCTCTCCTGTTTTACAATACAGCCTAGTCCCATCAGCCTTCATACCTGGTGCTTCTTTCGTGAGGCTTGATTGCTTTTCAGATGCGACCTGCGCTTTTGCTGGGCTTTCTTCTACACACACACAAAAGAAAAGAAAAACATTAGTAAGATATGGGCCATCCCTCTTTCCCTTAGCACATTAAAATAACCTTTTCCCCTGACTGTCCTCACCACTTCCCATGTGGCAGCAGACATTCCTATGCCCAGTGCTCTGTCTCTCTGCAACTCCTGTGCTCACACCCCTATGGGATGGGGCAGACCAATGAAGGAAATCCCTCTGGCTGTTCTGTACAACTGCTCAAACCCCTCCTCCCCACAAAGGCTTTTCAGAAGGATCCCCTAAACTCCTCCCTTTGGAAATCCTTCCAAACCATCAACAAAATACTACATAAGGACTCGGGATCCTCATCCACTGAACAAGTGACCTGGAGGCAAAAGCCTGAAAAAGGCCACACTTGACCCACTGGAGAAACAAAGATATAATTTTCTTCACTAGCTGGCTGATTTCCACAGAAAGGGTTATGGAGAAAAGCAGCAGGGTGGCTCCAGTTCATGACAACCAAGTCTTAATTTGACAACCTGAGCTCAGAACAGCAAGGTTCCCACATGCAAGCAAAACGTCCTACCTGTGACCAGCAGGACATCATGCTCTGTGCCCATGCTAGAACTTGGATAAGGTTCTAGAATTTGACATGTGCTACTGTTTGTGATGAAAGCCAGACAAAACGCTTCAGATGTCACTGATTCTGGGTAGGAGGTTCCAAGAAAAAATGGCAGAACTTACAACTTTTACTGGCAAAAAATGAGGAGGCGTCTGGGAGCATCTTTTCCAACAACCAATTTTATTAAATGGCAGAAGCTTTGGTGAGCTGCAGCTCCCCTCATCAGATCCAGTGGGTGGCAAGAGTGATATCGCACATCCCTCGCCATGCGTCCTACATCAATCCAGCCTACGCCAGTCCAGTCACTCTGTGCACCGGATGAGGGGAGCTGCAGCCCACCAGAGCTTCTGCCTTTTAATAAAATTTGTTAGTTGGGAAAGGGGCTACCAGACTCCTCCTGATTTTTTGCCACCATCAACTAAGACAGCTTTCCTCCTACAATAACTTTAACTGGGCACCTTTATTAGTTCTCCCCACTGCCTGTCTTCAGTATGTTAATGATAGATATACTGCCTCTGAAAATGGAGGTTTAGTTTGTTTATTTATTCATTCATACATAATTTCTATTTCTAAAGCTGTCTACTTGCCAACCATTCTGGAAAAAGGAGTAAATTAATTATTTGAGACTGAGGTAATCCATGGTAAATGTAATTCTATTCTACCCTATATGCTTATAAATAAGCCAACAATTTTAAGTTCTAAAATACACCCAAAAAACTGGGTTTGGCTTATTCGCGGATGTGGTCATCCACGAGTATATATGGTAATAATACTCCTTTAAAGTACCCATGTATACTTGTAGATAAGCCCATCCGTGGATAAGCCAACCCTCAAATTTTTAACCAAAATACCATGAAAAACGTGCCACTCACAGAAAAGCCAATTGTGAAAATTAAAACATACAAAAATGTTGAGGGTTGCTTTATCCGTGGATGAGCTTATCTGCAAGCATATATGGTAACTATAAGAAATGAATAACCCAATCACCAGAAATATCTGTCTGGTGATCTGTATTTCCCACAAACAGGTTACTAACTTATCTCTGGGGTAAACAATCAAACTTCATTTACAACAAACAAGCCAAGTAAGTTGTGTGCAATTAAGACGCTACATCCCATAATACCAAGAACGTTGGAGGCATGCTTTGAACGGTGGCCAGCATGACAGCCAAGGCCTTGTCCATCCAGCAGGCCGGCACCTTCCTGTGCCAAAGCAGTCTGCTCTTCGGAGCCCCGAGGGCGGATCGGCTTCCTGCCAGCACATTTCTTTAATGCCCTTCAGGCCACCTCAAGACAGGATGCTCACAAATTCTTCTCATGGGGCGGGGGAGACTGCTGTGTGCCTTTGGGTTTGCTCGTCTTTGCAGAAACCTCCTTTCTGATCCCATTTTGTTGCCAAATCCAGTGGGACACAGCCACTGGTCTTCTATAAATCAACTTTTTAAAACAAGCTCTTCACCAAGGGAGAGAGGCTCCTCATTTCGATGCGCTTGCCATCTTTACCTTTTATGTCTTATTGTAATTTCTTTGGTTGTTGTGAGTTGCCTAGTCGAGAGTTGGGCAGCATACAAGTTTAATAAATTATTGGGTCAGCTTCCGGTGGGCACCATGGTGAGCTGACGAGCAGGACAGTGTCTACGAGGAAAATCGTGACTGGATGCTGGATCCAGACGGGTGAAATCTCTCCAGATGAAGAGATCACTGAGATAACCCATGTGCATTCCGGACAGCCACTCCTTGTGAGTAGACCGGAGGAATCAACGTTCTGCAGTTGGCTTATGAGTTGAGTGGCTGGGAGTTGAGGGATACCATCTAAGCCTGTACTCGTAATGCAGTCTTTAAAGGACAAAAAGCTTGACCGAGCCTCATTTCTTAAACACTTTTTAGTTTATTTTTTTAATTATTGACCTGGAAAGATTAAGACCTTTCAGATCAACAAGTTTTTACTGTATTCACTGGGTGAGTGGCCTTCTCCTTGGAGAAAAAAAAATTAAATACAATTTAAAAAGTACAGAAAAAATACTATTTTTTGGATTAAATAGCAAAAGGGTGCTTAGAGTATGGATTTTGGAAAGTTAACAATGAGTTAAGGGTCCAGATGGATTTGGAATTATAGTTTTGAATTAATTAGAATTCTTCCCATGGGAAATGGCAATTGTTTGGTTTTTTTAAAAGGAAACATGATAATGGGACCTTGAAGATTTGACACTAGAGGGAGCTTGAGGATAATACATTTGTTAATAAAGAATGGAGCAAAAAACTTTGATGGATATTTTTGAATACTGGTCTTCAAAACTACTTGATAATGATAGACAGATCATGTGCCAGTGAAGTTAAGAAGAAGAACAAGCTACACCGGAGAAGTCTGAAATTAATTTGAAGGTAGATTTAAATGTGTTAAGCAATGAGAAGGATATGGAGAAAGATGTACTGGATATACAAAAGAAAGCAGTGGATGTTTCATTGCTTAAAGGAGATGTACAATTACTTAACCAGAAAACTAATTTGAATTACTCTTACTGGATGTATAAAAGAGGTCTGTTAAAGTATTGAAGGACTTTATGAGAAGTGATTTAAAAAAGGACAAATTTTACTTACTGGATGTACAAAAGAGGTCTGTTAAAATTTTGAAAGATTCTTGGGACAAAAAAAAAGATGAACAGAAATCAAGCTCTGGGACTATATTTGAAGGGGTTAAAAATTAAAAGTACAGGGAAGGAATACAGGGTTGGCTTATCTGATCAATGTTAAAATAGAAAATTAGTTATATCTGGTCTCCCTTACTGGACTCTTGCTGATAAAAAACAAATGAAGAGGCTTTTGGATTATGTTTTTTAGTTAAGAGATGAGTTATGGGGTGAAGAGAATATATGTTGTATTAAGAGATGATGATAACCTACTAAAATTGCTTTTACTTGCTGGGATGAAGGGGGAAGTTACTTCTTTTTTTTTTTACACTTTTTTCTTTTTCTGTATTCTTACACTTTATGTGGTTTGTAATAGTTTTTATTCTTTCTGTTTGTAATTCTTAATAAAATCATTTGATTTTTTACAAAAATAAATTATTATTATTATTGCTTTCTCATTAATAGGTACACATTTTAAAAAGAAAAATCTAGAAGAAACAGAACTATACCTCTTATGCTGAACTGGAGGAAGTCACTAGCAGTAGACATGAGCACCTTTTTCCCTGTGATGGCAACTGAAACTTTATCAGAGGGCAGTGGTTAGGCTAGGCTAAGGGAAAAGATGGCCAGATCAAAGGGGAAAACTTTGCTAGCAAATTGACAGGCCCTATATATGTCAGACTAATTTCATCCTTGTCAATAAAAAGGGGTCACCTATATCTCAATTTTTAGATGAGGATCTGAGGGCAACATATTGCTAGACCCACCAAGAGTTCATAGAACAAACTGAGGAAGGCTTCTTGACAGTCCATCCATTAGATCAGTGTTTCTCCACCTCACCAACCTGATGATGTGTGGACTTCAATTCCCAGAATTCCCTAGCCACCATGCTGGCTGAGGAATTCTGAGAGTTGAAGTCCACTCATGTTAAAGTTGCTGAGGTTGAGAAACACTGCATTAGATCACCTTGATGCTACTTTCTCACCGCCCCAACATAATATCCCTACATAGGTACACTAATGTGAAGGTTGTGTTAGATGTGTTTTATGTGTGTTATGTGTTTTATGTGTTTTATGGTTTTTATATTTTTAAAGCTGCACTGGAGTGGCATTAATTTCGTTGTACAAGTTGTACAATGACATTAAAGATTTCTATTCTAATGATGTAGCCCAAGGGCCTAATGCACTGGCAATAAATTTTTTGCATTTATATGTGAAGCAAGGAAAAGTGGTATAAATATTTATTTATTTATGCACACTCTTGTATACTGTATTCTCCATAGCTCCTAAACCACTTGTACCCCAAACAATAAAACAAGAGAACCATACTGAAATACCAAATGTATCATTCATTATGTTGCCAGCTAATCCTCACCCTTCCAACTCAGACAGAGCACAGCCTTTGCTGCCTTCCAAATGTTGGCAGGGAGAGGCCAGACTGCTTCGGAGGCCAAGCATTCCAGAGGGAGGGGCTGTTCCTGAAAAGGCTTGTTTCCAACCAGCCTCCTTCCTAACATCCTAAAGGGGGTGCCTCTTGGCTGTAGCAAACCGGGGAGCAAATTCTCCCCAGATCAAATGGGCTTTACCAGAGAGCAGCAACATTTGAGTTTGCAAAATAAAACCACAGCAGAGCCCTGAAAAGAATGCACAATAAAAAACATACTTGCATACCTAGATTCTGCGGCAAGCCTTTTATTTCAACACAGGAAGGACTTGAAATACATCCTCTCTCCTTCTGGATTAGCCGAAACTCTTTCTGAAAGGAAAGCATGCAGGTCATCAATGGAACAGTAGGAACGGGACCAAAGCTGTAGGGAAAATCAGAACTTCCTGAACACCTTTCCAGGCAGAGCAACTGCATCCCAGCCCATCCATATTGGAGGCATGTTTGCTAGAGAGTCACATACTGCCTTCTGAGAGTGACTTACCTCCAACCTCCACCACCCGGAGCCAACATGAGGGGTTGAGAGAGTTGCCCTCCAATAGTTGGAGGGCCACAGCTTTCTTGTAAAAGCACAGCTCTCAAGGAGTGTTTATTTTAATAGTATTGAGAGAACGATTTTTTGCTCTTTTCATGGAGTGGTGCCCATGTTAACTTTCTTGCAGCAACAAAAAGCAAGGGTCTTGTAGCTCCTTAAATCCCAACAATTTATTGCTATGGCATAGCAGCTTCTCTGGGTGAGGGCCCACTCAACCATCAAATCCATGAGAGGGTACCTGATTGGCAAATATATACATACAAAGGGGTGTAGAGAACGAAAAAATATATGAAAAATGGGATTAGATACTGCCTGTCATGAAGAATGGAGAAAAGAAAAGCTGGCACATGATGATACATCTTGGGGGCCCCTAAAAATAAGTGTGGTATATAAGTTCCTGATGGTGTGAGAGACCCTGTTTTGCCCTGCAACACTTGCACAACTTCCACAGGCCCTCTCTATATGCCAGACTGACATCTACTAATAGGAGAGAAGCATCAGGACAGCGTGCTCCACCCAGCATTGGCCCAACCATTTACAACTTCTTCTGATCCCGCATTTCTAAGAGTTTCAGGGGGCTGAGGCTAGACCGTGCTGCTTTTCAGTGGCAGTACCAGTGTTTTGGAACAGCCTCCTGACAGAGATCAGACTGGCCCCTTCCTTGTGGGGTGTCCCAGAAACTTTTAAAAACTGAATTGTTTTGGAAGGGCTTTTCCTGAGTCTATATCTGGTGCCATCTTGCTTTTTTGTTTCTGGTTTATTCTTCATTTTTTTTCTTTTTGTGCTCTTAGGTTTCTATATGGTGGTATTGTTTGAATTCTAATCCCACCATGGATGTTTCATTTTTTGTGTCTAGATCGTAAACTGTTAAAAGTCATTTGACTGAGGTGGACTAGAAGTATTATAAATAAATACAACAATAAAGGTACAGGAATTTTATTTTTAAAAATGCCACTGGAAAATTTTAATGACGGTGCAAAGCTAAGTGAGTATTTCCAACATGCACAAAGTCCCAAGCAATCACCTGTTTTCCTCTGGGAATTACTGTAATCAAATCACGTGTTAGATTTTTTTGAATAACTAAGATGCAGACAAAACAGGAGCTGCCATTTTCTCTAGAATAAAGTTGACGGGGAAAGGCATTTTTCTGATCGTGGCTCTACAAACCTTTCTTTGTGTTACTGTGCCTTCATTAATTTTTTTTTAAGATAGATGATCACTCATATAATGCCCTTATTTGAAATTAAATAACCATAATCTTTAATAAATAGTTTGTTATAAGCTGCAAGGCAAAAACAAGAACACCAATTCACAGGTCAGCAAGCTACTGCTCACTCCTGTAGACACTGATTACATATTCTAAGTCACCACAAAACAGTGTCAAGAATAAATAAAGAAAAAGGGCACGTCTCTCTAGAGCAGTGTTTCTCAACTTTGGGAACTTTAAGATATGGGGACTTCAACTCCCAGAATTCCCCAGCCAGCCTTTGAGAAACACTGCTCTACAGTAATAACCAAATACATTTTATCATTGACTGCAGATTTTAGATTTCAGCACGTTCAGCACATTCAAGAACGGAATGGAGACCTAACGTATTTAATCGTATTCATCCGTAAGTCTTGATATTGTACCAGAAGCAGTCCACAGACATAACAGCAACGCCCATAATTGGAAGCATTCTCTTGATAAATCCTCGGCGCTTATCAATGCCGATGCAAGACAATTTTCTCTGGATAAGAATTACGGCAACGCTAGATGAGTCAGTTACAGGGAAAGTAAAAAGGTTTCCCCCCTAAATCAGTGCTTGTCAACCTTGGCCGCCTTCAGATGGGGGGACCTCAACTCCCAGAAACCCCCAGCCAGCATTCTGGGGATTCT